CTACTAAATATTGGTATTAGACTAGCATATGACATCGTGCCACCGATGCCCCCTTTTAAAAAATTCACTTGTACTAGGGACCTAAACAAGCAACTGTTTGCATCCCACTTGCACGCCGCGGCCTTGCATAAAAGAGCCTATTTTTCATGTCGCCATAGGAAGCTCTGAGCGAACAAGCTGTCTCCTTTCCAACCCTAATTGATAAAGTCAGCCCTGTACACTCACTTGGCGTCAACCAGACACTTACGGCTGGGTCCCTATCTGATAAAAATAAATTAGGTGGCGTAATGTACGTCAACGACTAAATATATTTGAAGAATAGCGGCTGCTGTCTTTCGTGCGTATTACTGAGCATAAATGCTTTACTCCCAGAAGCTGCTTTTATGTGGAACATTGTGTTTACAGTGACAAGCCGTTTTTTACTAGCATTCCTGAATTCAAGTTTTTCAGATCGAGCCGACATCCTTAGTATTTCGTACTGGCTTAGCATACGAAGGGAGCAGAAATAGAAACATTTGAAACAGTTAGAGATCAAAAACATTTGACCGTGCGGTCTATTCTAAATTTTAGAACGATTCTATGGAGAACACCGGAGTCGCGGCTGTAGAATCGGATCCAATCGATGCCTCATCAGGCGGTCTTCGTGGTCTAAAACGGGAGTTCTTCGAGTGGCTGCATTCACCTGTGAACCGATCACTCCTTCTGTTCAAGTTCTTCTATTTCCTATTCTATGCAGCGTTTGGCTCTCTCTTTCCTCTCCTTTCAATATACTTCAAACAATTGGGGCTCAATGCCACACAGTGCGGAGCCCTTGGTGGTGTGCGCTCTCTGGTGGAATGGATCGGAGCTCCCTTCTGGAGTGGCATTGCTGAGCGCTGGAAGAAGGGAAAATTCTTCTTGATGGCCAGTCTCTTCTGTTGGATCTGTTTTACGCTCGGTCTGGGGTTTGTGAGACCAAAACCCGAAGGTTGCTTGGTTAGAATAAACTCAAAATTCACGGAAGAGAGTGCAAATGATTCGGATTACCGAAACCTCTTCATCTTTGAGCCCTACCGTCAGGTTCCAAGTGACAGTGTAGAATCTGTGGAAATGCAGCGTTACCTGGCTTTGGCCTGGCGTAACCAAATCGGCCAATCACCACTGCATTTGAACAGCGAAAAACTTTCGGACAAGGCCGACATTGCAATGCTTACGTTAGATAAGGCCGGCGTGAGCTCTAGGGTAACATCTTTCCTGAACAACCCTTATCACGATCCACAACACTATCCAAAGGGAAGCCTACTGATGCCGTTGTACTCGACCGTTGTGTATACCCAGTCAAGGATCAATCAGGTGTTTATAATTGCGATGATCTTGATTGTTGTTGGAGCGTTCTTCTCAAGTCCTGCCATTTGTTTGGCCGACTCTGCCG